GCGGCGGGGGGGGGGGGGGGGATGAGGGCAAGCCCGGTGGAGCCGTGGTGTTCCATGGCTGCCAAGATTTTCCACGGGTTCTACAAGCTCCAGCCTTCCCCGATTGCTAGAAGGGCAGATTAGTGCCACGGCAGCAATCATCGGATTTCCCCATCAATGAAGCCTGGCACGAAGCAGTCACGTTACTAAGCATGAACTCCTCGTTGAGGACATGGTGGAGGGGAAGCAGCAAAGCAGGAGAGAGAGAGCGTAAAGGAAAACGAAAAACCCATTTGTCGCCCCCATTGCCCAGGTTAACCAGGCTGCCATTGTTCCTGGGCACCGAGACCAGCCGGGGTCATTGACCCAGAACAGGCACAGCGTGGGGGTGGGGGGGTAAGTGGGCCATGCTTAAAAACCACAGACATTGTTAGTGTGTTACAAACACAAGGTAAGAGCATGTGGGCTGAATCCTCCATAGGAGGACCTGTATATAATACTACACCAAAGGCACAACTCTCTTGAGGTAGACCCGTATATACCGTAAGGCACAGCGGAGAAATGTACCGTGTGAACCAGCGGCAGACACTCGGAAATGCTGAGTTCAGGAAAATCCTTTTTTCTTGTGTGGGTTAAAACCGCAAGAGCCGAGGCATTGGCCAATTCCTCGGGAGGGAGGAACAGACACGGAGAGCAATCTAGATGCCTACAAAGACCAGGCATGGTAGAACTTGTAGTGCATTGACAATGCCGATGGTCACAGAATGATGGAGAGTCCATCAGGGTAAGAGCAAAGGAAGGGTGGGGGGCACAGAATCCCAAGCTGACACCGAGTGTCCATGCAAGAGAATGAAGAGCTCATATATAGAGTAACAAGGGGAATGTGGGGACCATAAAGGGGGCTTTGACATAAATCACCATGGAATGGCCACCATAGCCGACCTCAGAGGGGGCTGATCATACAATGGGGTTGTCCAGTGGTGGGAGGGCAGGAGCACCCATGGAAAAGATGGGAGGGCAGTTATTATAGAAGGGGTTCAGTCAGGACTGAAGTATACAGGGAAAGGACAGAGGGTGATAAGGGGCATCGGTTATTTGGAAGGTGTTGCGGCTTTTCCTAATCAAATCCTCTGACACAGCCAAAGCCCCAAGACCAATGAAATCTGTAGAGTTCCATCACGGTACCATTCCTTGTACAATTTATGGGAACACCAAAGGCAAAGTGAAGATGCCAGATCTGACGTCGGTAGAGATACAATGAGACTACCCCATGATACATAAACTGCCATTGCAATGAGGTCACATGAGGCAGTTGAGTTGTCCATGGGCAGACTCTATTATATGGGGGGGGCGGGACCCAGAGGGCACTGGAGGCTTCTGGTACTGGGCAGGCATCACAGAGGGGTCAGACCAGGGTAGAAGGATAACGGGCTTAGACAGAATGTAATAAAAGGAGGATTAGGGGGGTCCATAGGTAATATAGGGGGCTCTACCATAAGACACCATGGAATATCCTACATAGCCATGGAGGGGCAGATCATGCCATGGGGTTTTCTGGTGGTGTTCGGGCAGAAGCACCTGTGTAAAGTTTGGGATGGTGGTGATTTATATAGGGGTCAGGTCAGAGCAGAAGAATGAAGAGCTCATATATAGAGTAATAAGGGGAATGTGGGGACAATAAAGGGGGTTTTGGCATGTCACCCTGGAATGGCCACCATAGCCAACTTCAATAGGGGGCAGATCATACAATGGGTCATCCAGTGGTGGTGGGGGGCACCCTTGGAAAAAATTATTATAGAAGGGGTTCAGTCAGGACCCAAGTATAAAGGGAAAGGACTAAGAGGGATCACAGAAAATAGGAGGGAGATCTGCCATAACCAACGCCCTGGAATCCACAGTATAGCCAGCCATGGTGGGGCAGATTAGGTCATGGAGGTACCCAGCGGTTGGAGGGGCAGG